CTCGGAATGAAATGATCAATCCACACACGTACTTTTCGATTTCCATTACTCCATCACAGCTGTCCAGTCGATTTTACCTTATTTCGTAGCGATTCATCTCAACGTCTCTGAATATAGTTCCACTTCTATCTCTGATTATATTCCGGTAAATGACTCCGTCTATCGGTCTCTCACGCTCGTTAGTCTTCATTTTGTTGTATATTTTTCTATGATTAGCATCCATCTGCTAGTTAAAATAATTTGGTATTTGCAAGAGTCAAGTATGATCGATAGAGTTGACATGATTCTCTATTAGCAATACAAGTTTGGTATAAGTAAATGGATGATTATTGTCCATTGATAGATACACTGAATCAAATTGATTCTCTAACGATTAGCAATACAAGTAAGTCAATACTGACGAAACAATCACTATGTCATGATGTGTGATGTGAAGTTGGAGCTTTGCAATGATTAATGCTTGTTGATGATTTATTCTTTCATGAATGTTAATTCATATTAATCCATTTTCACCATGAAATTTATCGAGATTGCAACTTTTTGGTTATATCCTTTTGTGAGTTCGTTTTTATGCGCATTTTTGGTTGGTTGAGTTGTTTATCATTTATCCGAGTTGAATTTCATTCTTCTCACAATGCCCCTCACAGCCATTTTGATCGTCATCCATAGATATTATTCACTCACTTCAGTTCTTTTTTTGTGCTTTTTAATATATTCACATTCATTCATCGCCGCAGTACAAACCTCAACAGATGCTCTCCCTTCAGAACGATTGTTTTCGTGATATCTTTAAAGCAGTTTGAGTATTACCAGTAATGACCATAATGAAACATTAAAGATGATAATAATGGAGAATGCATGTTTGTTGTGTCTAATTTTCAGCCGGGTGGGCATAGTTATGGACAGACGTCAGGTGGTGGAGTGACGAGCGTAACGTCGACGAGTCAGAGATCGGCAAGTGCAAATTCATCGTCGTACGTAGCGGGCGGTAAACGCGGTAGCAGTGCTTCAGCTGTCTCCGGAGCATCTACCACTGGATGTAGTGCTAGTTCGGAGAAGGTTGACAAAGGAGAGCTTGTCGATACTTACTCCAAGTTAAATGTAAGACATACCTAATGCATACATGTATATATTGAGGTTGATACGATATAT